TTCCGCTGATAACGTGTCTCTATGGCGCCGTCCTTCCCGCATACACACGTTCATGTATGGAGCCTGTGGGACTTCTCCGCCAACATTCATACAAACATACACGCAGTTCTGTGGCATACATATATAGGTAGAAGTACTCATGTGATATAGTGTACGATTACATATGAACAAATACACACATACACTAAAGTTTCTTTCACATGAGACTTGTTCATAGTTTATTAGGTCAGGTTTGTAAAATTACATATTCATGTGTTCTTTAAAACAAGCAAATGCATAATTGCAAACATATGTAAATACGCAACGCGATACATGTGAACTACAAATTTGCATGATATATTAGAATAAATTATTTGCATAAATACTTACATACATACATACATACATAATGCATAAATGTATATATGTATATATATATATATATATATATATATATATATATATATATATATATATATATATATATATATATATGTGTGTGTGTGCGTGTGTGTGTGTGCATATGTATGTATGTATGCATGTTTGTGTGTGATTGTGTATGTATGTGTGAATTTATGTATATATCCGTTATATATTCATGTATGAATGTATGTATATGTACACCACAATATATACATTGACATTAAACATATCCATGCTACGAGTTATGATACACATACACACAGAAACACATACAGCATATACATACACACATCTACAAACAACACACAAACACACACACACTTCCATACCCAACACTGAAAACATTAAAGCGAAAATCAACGTCCGTACCCTTTGTATCTCCAAATCTTCTTAAATGTTCTTTTCGGGTCCGCCTCTTCCCCTTCTCCCTCCTCCCCTACCCTCCTCCCTCCTCCCCTACCCTCTCACCCCCCCCCCCCTCTTCTCTCTCTTCGTCCCTCAAAGCAAAAGACTCGAAATTCAGAATCCTGTGACTTCATTCCTCCATTCGCCAGCCGCTGGGAGAAGCCAGATGGGAACCTGATGACGTCACGGGCGGGAAATGGCCATTGGTTTGAATTGGTGTCCGCTGGATTATTTCATTTTTTTATTTTCTTATTTTTAGTATTTGTATTTTTTGCCGTCTTATTATTTGGTTATCAGGTCAACAATTTTTTTTATTTATTTTTTGAATTGTTATTTCTGTTAATTTCAACATCAGTATTATCGACATTTATATTGCTATTATTATCATTATTATTATTGATATTATCATATTTATTATCGTTCTATCGTTATTATCATTATTGTTATCATCACTACTGTTATCATCATTGTCATTATTATTATTATTATTATTATTATTATTATTAATGTTATTATCATCATCAATATCATTATTATAATTATCATTATTATTGTTATTGTTATCATTATTATTACTGCTATTATTATCATTGCTATTATCTTTATATTATGCTATTGTTATCATTATTATCATCATTAGTGCCATTGCTATTATCACTATTAGTATCACTGTCATTATTATCATCATCCTTTTCATCATCAATATTAATATCCTCGTTTTTATTATCATGATTTTCCTTGTCTTTATCTTTATTACTATCTATTATTACTATTTATGTTACTGTTATCACTACTGTTATTACCATGGTACAATCATCTATATATACGTCGTTAAATTGTTTTCTTCTATATCTTGACAATAGTCATTTTGATATTTGGATAATGGTAGTAATAACTACGATCAGAATAAAATCAGGGATAGCAGTAATTGTGAACAAAATTTACAACAAACTTTTTTTCTTTTCTTTTTTTTTGCAACAGTCAAAATATAATAACAATCAAAGCATGGCAGAACGTTCTAGGAAAAACGGCAGTTCTCGTCCTTATACGAACAGGCCAAATCTTGAAAAAATATATATAAAAACTAATAACTATTACCTGTAGAAATACATAAAAGATTTAAAGCATAATACCCGAAGAGATACCAAATACCAAGATAAACACCTGACACCTAAATAAATAACAAACAAACAAAAAAGACAAATACAAAACGAATAGAGAAAAAAATACCTTAACTGAAACAAGCAAAGAAAAAAAATAATTTTGCAGCCGATATTTTTTCCGACAGAATGATCAGAAAAAACGGAGTGTCTTAGGACAATCCCATAGGAGTAGGGGGGGAGGGGAAGAAGAGGGGGAGGAGGGCAGGGAACCAGGAGGGGAGGAGGCAGGAAGGAGAGGAGGGAAACGGAGGGAAGGGGAGGAGAAGGGAAGGGGAGAGAGAGGGTAAGGCGGGGAGGAGGGGTGGAAGAGGAAAGGGGGAGGGGGAGGGGAGGGGAGGGAAGAGGAGGCCGGATAAGGAATAAGGGGGGATATAAAGAGAAAGAAAGATAGATGAAGGGGAGTGAGGGAGATGAAGAGAAAGATAGAGTGATCGAGAGAGAGAGAGAGGGAGAGGTCATCCATTCTCTCTTCTCTCTCTCTCATCCTTCCACCCTTCCACCAACTTCATCCCTCCCTGTCTTCTTCCCTCTCTACATTCCTCCTTCCTCCTTCCTTCGTACCTTCCTTTCCTTCCTCAATCCCATCCATACCATCCTTCCTCCCCTCTCTTCTTCCCTTCCTTCTTCCACTACCATCCCAACCCTCACTCATTCCTTATCGCCCCTATTCGATCCCTCATCCTAATATCCACCCTCACTCTCTCCACCCACCTTCGCCGCCTTTACAACCACCCATCCAGCCTACCCTCACCCTCACCCTCTCCACCCACCCTCACTCTCTCCACCCACTCTCACCCTCACCCTCTCCATCCACCCTCACTTCTCCACCCATTCTCACCCTCACCCTCTCCACCTACCCTCACTCTCTCCACCCACCCTCACCCTCTCCCACTCCACCCACCCTCATTCTCTCCCACTCCACCCTCACCCTCTCCACCCACCCTCAGCACCCTTACAACCCCCCATCCCCCCGACCCTCACCCCTACACCACACCATTTCCCCCTCGAAAAAAAAATCCCCAAATCTCCCCGGAAGCTCGGGGAAATCCCCTAGCCGGCTAGTGAAATATGGCGCGGCGGGATAAGGCTCCCAGGAGAGCACTTACCGTCTCTATCAATTGGGCAGATTCCTCTTCTTTTTGGGGGGGACTCGAAGGAGGGGGCTCGAGGGGGGGGGGAGGGGGGGAGAGGGGGGGATGAAGTCGAGACGAAGGGGGGGGATAGGGGAGAGAGGGGAGGGAGAGGGGAGGGGGATGGAGGGGGAGAGGGAGAGGGAGGTGGTGGAGGGAAGGGAGGGATGAAGTCGAGAGAAGGGGGGGGGATAGGGGAGTGAGGGGGAGGGGGATGGAGGGGGAGAGGGAGGGAAAGGAGGAGGGAGGATGGTGGAGGGAAGGGAGGGATGAAGTCGAGCAAGGGAGGGGGGGATAGGGGAGAGAGGGGAAGGATAAAGGAAGAGGAGGGAGGGGAGGAAAGAAGGATGGTGGTGGGGGGAGGAAAGGAGGCCCGTTGGGAGGGCGCGTGAGGTGACCCGCGAGTGTCAGGGTGGATGACCTCGGAGAAAGAGAGGGGGAGGGGGGGGGGGAGAAAGAGAGAGAGGGGGGAGAGAAAAAAAAAAGAGATAGAGAGAGGGAGGGAGTAAAGGAAAGAGGGAGGGGGGGAGATCGAGGGGGAGGAGAGCAAGAGAGAGAGGGGGGAGAGGAAAAGAATGAAAGAAAGAGGGAGTTAGGAGGTGGAGGAAGAAGAGAGCAAGAGAGAAAAGGGGGTAAGGAAAGGAAAGAGAGAGAGAGAAAAGAAGATAGATGAATAGGAAGAGAGAAAGAGACAGATAAATAGAAAGAGAGAAAGAGAAAGAGAGGGACTAGACAAAGAAAGAGAAAGAGAGGGAGGAGACGAGAAAAGAGAAAGAGAAACAGGGAAAGGGGAAAACTTGTATGAGTAAGGAATAGTAGTGGAAGGAAGAAAGGAGATAAAATAACCATTCATAGCGATAGATGGAAGATGAAACAAAGACGATGAAGGGAAAGTAAAAGAAAAAAGACTAAGAAGAAAAAAAAAATTAAATAGCTAAAGAAAATGAAACAAAGGTTTAGAATCAACAACAAAATATAAATGCAGCAGAAAATATAAAGTACAGTTTGTTTTCACGTAATCACAAATTAATGAGATTTTATCACTTCCATTGTTGGAAGTTTATGAGGCCATTATGAGATAATGAGATGGCATTTATAACTAAAAATATTCCAAAGAATTCAGAGACTATACGAAAATGTGTGAATAGCATGTTAGTAAATACTGTATTATAACGAGATATATTTAAATAAATTAGCACAAAGAACATAAATATAATTTCAATTAATCATCAAAATCAGCTGTAATAACAAAACATCACCAAACAAAGACGAAACGGAAAGCGCAAAACAAGTCAAGAATACAAACAACATAAAAGAGGGGAAAGACAGAGTAGGGGGAAAGGCGAGAGAAAGAAAAAAAAGGGAGAAAGAAAAACATAGCCTAAAAAGAATGAACAGCAGTGGCCCTCTGGCGTCCGTCCCCTGAAACAATGGTGGGCTGGAGTAATGGGAAGGATTTAGCATGTAATTGAAACAGTAGGAGATGGGGGGGAGGGGAGGAGGTCAGGATGGGGTCGAGTGATGATGTCGGGATGGGGTGAGAGGAGGGGGATGGGGAGAGATGGGGTGAGGGGAGGGGGAGGGGGTAGGATTAGGGGTAGAGTCGAGAGGTTGGGGGTCTGGAAAGGGGTAGGTTTGGGGGCTAGGACGGGGTCGGGGATAGAGTCGAGGATGCGGTGGGCGGTCGGGAGTTTGACGAGAGTCGAGGGACAGAGGGGAGGAGAGCGCGAAGAGGGAGAGAGAGAGATGGGGGGGGTGAAAGGGGAGGAAGAGAGGGCAGATAGGGGTGAATTGATGGATGAATTGATAGACAAACGGAATAAATGAATAGGCGAGCGGCAGGCCTCTTTTCCCAGCGCTATTAAGACCACTTATCACCGGTACTTAATCGGGGGAAATTATGACAGAGCATCGTCCATGCGGCACCAGTAACGAGCCTTCCCGAACCATCACCAAGACGAGACGTATAACATATAGTTTCTTTACGAGTGTCGTAGCCATTGCGTCGCCAAGGAGTGCGGCAGTGTGTCTCGTGTCAGAAATTTATGACAGTGATATAGCTCAGATGTAGCCGGACCGGTGAGGAGAATGTCGCTGTAAAATAACGTGGTTTAATGACCGGGAATATCCGTGTGTGTTGCGATGAACTGGTGCGCCGTTTTCTTTGTGTAGTGAACTTGGATTGATTTGCCTAGTTTGGTAATTTAGAGATAAATGGTCCGTATTATTTATCGTGTTCAAAATTTTCAGTTATCCATATATGATAATATAACAATTAATAATTTGTTGATTCGTGATTTGTTCATCTGTGTGAAGTGATGTATCACTTTCGTCGTTCATTTTTTTTCTTTTGTTTTCTTTTCATCTCACAAATTATTTCATCAAATTATCCCGACTCAAAATACCCCAACCCACTATCAAAGCCAGAAAATACAGTAACCCTGCACTGTCTTTATACGTCACAGGTCGTTTTCCTTGGATCCTCTCTGCCCATTTTAATTCCGCCTCACATCTCTTCCAGGTCACCCTCGCTTCATGAACCAGCTGTCATGTGGTATGGAGGTGGTGTCTCTGGCCGGCGAGTGGCTGACCGCCGCCGCCAACACCAACATGTTCACCTACGAAATTGCTCCAGTCTTCATCCTCATGGAACAGGTATGTTGGCGCTTGTCTGCGATGGGGTGGATGTTCGTGTATTGCGCTTAGTTGTGTGTGTGTGCTAAATATCTGTTCTTTGAGCAAGCGAGCGAGAGAAGGAGAAAGAGAGAGAGAGAGAGAGAGAGAGATAGAGAAAGAGAGAGAGAGAGAGAGAGAGAGAGAGAGAGAGAGAGAGAGAGAGAGAGAGAGAGAGAGAGAGAGAGAGAGAGAGAGAAGAGAGAGTTAGAGTGAGAAAGCGAGGAAAAGAGAGAAAAACTAAAACAAAAACGAAAATCCAAACCAGCCACTGCACCTCATCACCCTCCCTCGCAGGTCACGATGCGCCACATGAGAGAGATCATCGGCTACAAGCAGGGCGACAGCATCCTCGCTCCCGGAGGCTCCATCAGCAACCTGTACGCCGCCCTCGTCGCCAGGCACAGGATGTTCCCGGAGTACAAGAAGAAAGGCCTGCGAGCTCTCCCCGGCGAGCTGTGCATGTTCACTTCTCTCCACGTGAGTTTCGTCTGCTCGTCTGTTAATCCTCATGCCTTCTTATGATCCATTACAACTTTCCTCCTGTCTACTTGTCATTCTATTTCCCCATGCACTCGTCACTCAAACATACTCAGAGAAAAAACTAAACTATTCTTGAAACGAACACTACTTCTTTTTGTTTATACACACGAAATGAAACGCAAAGGGAAAACTTTTTGACTTGTCCCTCTTTCTTTTTTTTCAGAGCCATTACTCCATGATGGGCACTGCAGCTGCAATGGGTCTTGGCACTGACAACTGCATTGAAGTTCCCGTTGATGATAAGTAAGTCACGATTGGTCACTTGATGTCTCACTAGATTTGATCAATCTGCGAATCAAAATCACCTGTCTATCGATATTTATGTATCGTCATTAGGAATTCTCGTTTTATAATGCCGACTAATACAAGAAAAAAATGTAATAGAATAGAATAAAACATGAACATCGTATAAGTAGCATCACATCCCCTTTACACCCCTTTCGTCTCCACCAGAGGCCGCATGATCCCATCCGAACTCGACCGCCTCATCCAGGAGTGCAAGGCAAAGGGCAAAGTTCCCTTCCTCGTCTGCGCCACCGCCGGAACCACCGTCATGGGCGCCTTCGATCCCCTTCACGCCATCGCTGACGTCTGCGAGAAGCACAAACTCTGGTTCCACGTTGATGTGAGTCCTCGTAAAGGGGTTCTAATCCTAAGTACTTCATTGCCTCTATAGATGCAATACATGAAACGTGGAATTTCTTGTCATTCAAAATTGGTTATTTTTCGCTTAAGAGAAGAGATGATCAGTGTAAAGGTGGGCAGAAGGTTGACATAGTGATTGATAGAGGGGTCAGGAATCAAAATTGTAAGTGAATGACATACATACGTAATAAACAGACTCGCGGATAGATAGATAGATAGACAGATAGGTAGATAGTTAGATAGATAGATAGATAGATAGAGATACAGACAGACAGACAGACAAAAATAAAAAAAAAATATCGACAGTTAGAGACACACAGCCAAACATACAAACACACAGAACAAACATAAAATACCCACCTAACGCCCTCTCTCCCTCAGGCTGCTTGGGGCGGCGGAGTCCTCCTATCCAAGAACCACCGTCATAAGATGGCGGGCGTGGAACGTTCAGACTCGCTCACCTGGAATCCACACAAGCTGATGGGCGTCCTCCTCCAGTGCTCCACCGTGCACTTCAAAGAGGACGTGAGTGTTCTGTGTTCGGATTGAAACACTTTGTGGTGTTAGTTACCAGGTGATCAGGAATTCGTTAAGAGACAAATAATCATGACGTGTCGTTGGTTGTGATCAATGTTAATGATAGTTATAAGGGTAGAAATGACAGGAATAGTTGTGGTAATGATGATGATGAGGAGGAGGATAATGATATTAACAAATATGATAATGATAATAATGATAATAATAATAATAGTAATAATGATAAAAATAATATTGATTATTATTATTATTGTTATTATTATTATCATTATTATTATTATTATTATTATTATTATTATTATTATTATTGTTATTATCAACAAGAACAATATTGGCAATTATAAGTAATTTTAGTATTATTACCACAACAAAAAAGCATCAGCATAAAAAAACACGCAACACGAAAAAAAAACATAAACCAAACACATAAGCCAGACACTAGTCGCCCCTAACCCGCCACGCCCCTAACCCCGCCTCCATCCGCAGGGCCTGTTGATATCCTGCAACCAGATGTGCGCCGACTACCTCTTCCAGCAAGACAAACCCTACGACGTCAACTACGACACGGGAGATAAGGTGATCCAGTGCGGTCGCCACAATGACATCTTCAAGCTGTGGCTGATGTGGCGCTCCAAGGTTCGTTGTTGTTCATGTTGTGGTTGCGTTCTTGAGAGGGAAGGGGGGGGGGGGGGTGAGGGAGGAAGGAAGGGGCAGTGAGAGGAAGATGGGGGGAGGGAAGGAGGGAGGTGAATGGTGGAGGAAAGAGGGAGGGGAGGGAGGGTCAGCGAGGAGAAAGATGGAGGGAAAGAGAGAGAGAGGAGGGAGCGGAAAGAGAGACAGGGAGGCAGGGAGGAAGGAGCAGGGAAGTGGGAGATAGAGGAACTTTGAAATAATAAAATTCCTCACAGAAATCCTATATAACTCTCTCGGCCTGCGTAGGATGGAGGGCATCTGTCGGAGATTGTTACCAGAGCACATACTCTTATTCCCAATGTTGTGATCTCTAACGGGATCAACATTCTAATGGAACTCTTCTCTTTACTATCGTTAAACTATTAATTCACGCAGATCTAAGAAATGTCAAGGAATATAAAAAAGATAATCGCCAATAATAATATTCATAATAATGTATTAGACTGTACGGTTTCCCTTTCTGTCTAACTGTAGTTGCTCTTTCTTAATGATATGATTTTCTCTTTCTTAATGATATGATTTTCTCTTTCTTAATTATATGATTTTCTCTTTCTTAATTATATGATTTTCTCTTTCTTAATGATATGATTTTCTCTTTCTTAATGATATGATTTTCTCTTTCTTAATGATATGATTTTCTCTTTCTTAATGATATGATTTTCTCTTTCTTAATTATATGATTTTCTCTTTCTTAATGATATGATTTTCTCTTTCTTAATGATATGATTTTCTCTTTCTTAATGATATGATTTTCTCTTTCTTAATGATATGATTTTCTCTTTCTTAATGATATGATTTTCTCTTTCTTAATGATATGATTTTCTCTTTCTTAATGATATGATTTTCTCTTTCTTAATGATATGATTTTCTCTTTCTTAATGATATGATTTTCTCTTTCTTAATGATATGATTTTCTCTTTCTTAATGATATGATTTTCTCTTTCTTAATGATATGATTTTCTCTTTCTTAATGATATGATTTTCTCTTTCTTAATTATATGATTTTCTCTTTCTTAATGATATGATTTTCTCTTTCTTAATGATATGATTTTCTCTTTCTTAATGATATGATTTTCTCTTTCTTAATGATATGATTTTCTCTTTCTTAATTATATGATTTTCTCTTTCTTAATGATATGATTTTCTCTTTCTTAATTATATGATTTTCTCTTTCTTAATTATATGATTTTCTCTTTCTTAATGATATGATTTTCTCTTTCTTAATGATATGATTTTCTCTTTCTTAATGATATGATTTTCTCTTTCTTAATGATATGATTTTCTCTTTCTTAATGATATGATTTTCTCTTTCTTAATGATATGATTTTCTCTTTCTTAATGATATGATTTTCTCTTTCTTAATGATATGATTTTCTCTTTCTTAATGATATGATTTTCTCTTTCTTAATGATATGATTTTCTCTTTCTTAATGATATGATTTTCTCTTTCTTAATGATATGATTTTCTCTTTCTTAATGATATGATTTTCTCTTTCTTAATGATATGATTTTCTCTTTCTTAATGATATGATTTTCTCTTTCTTAATGATATGATTTTCTCTTTCTTAATGATATGATTTTCTCTTTCTTAATGATATGATTTTCTCTTTCTTAATGATATGATTTTCTCTTTCTTAATGATATGATTTTCTCTTTCTTAATGATATGATTTTCTCTTTCTTAATGATATGATTTTCTCTTTCTTAATGATATGATTTTCTCTTTCTTAATGATATGATTTTCTCTTTCTTAATGATATGATTTTCTCTTTCTTAATGATATGATTTTCTCTTTCTTAATGATATGATTTTCTCTTTCTTAATGATATGATTTTCTCTTTCTTAATGATATGATTTTCTCTTTCTTAATGATATGATTTTCTCTTTCTTAATGATATGATTTTCTCTTTCTTAATGATATGATTTTCTCTTTCTTAATGATATGATTTTCTCTTTCTTAATGATATGATTTTCTCTTTCTTAATGATATGATTTTCTCTTTCTTAATGATATGATTTTCTCTTTCTTAATGATATGATTTTCTCTTTCTTAATGATATGATTTTCTCTTTCTTAATGATATGATTTTCTCTTTCTTAATGATATGATTTTCTCTTTCTTAATGATATGATTTTCTCTTTCTTAATGATATGATTTTCTCTTTCTTAATGATATGATTTTCTCTTTCTTAATGATATGATTTTCTCTTTCTTAATGATATGATTTTCTCTTTCTTAATGATATGATTTTCTCTTTCTTAATGATATGATTTTCTCTTTCTTAATGATATGATTTTCTCTTTCTTAATGATATGATTTTCTCTTTCTTAATGATATGATTTTCTCTTTCTTAATGATATGATTTTCTCTTTCTTAATGATATGATTTTCTCTTTCTTAATGATATGATTTTCTCTTTCTTAATTATATGATTTTCTCTTTCTTAATGATATGATTTTCTCTTTCTTAATGATATGATTTTCTCTTTCTTAATGATATGATTTTCTCTTTCTTAATGATATGATTTTCTCTTTCTTAATGATATGATTTTCTCTTTCTTAATGATATGATTTTCTCTTTCTTAATGATATGATTTTCTCTTTCTTAATGATATGATTTTCTCTTTCTTAATGATATGATTTTCTCTTTCTTAATGATATGATTTTCTCTTTCTTAATGATATGATTTTCTCTTTCTTAATGATATGATTTTCTCTTTCTTAATGATATGATTTTCTCTTTCTTAATGATATGATTTTCTCTTTCTTAATGATATGATTTTCTCTTTCTTAATGATATGATTTTCTCTTTCTTAATTATATGATTTTCTCTTTCTTAATGATATGATTTTCTCTTTCTTAATGATATGATTTTCTCTTTCTTAATGATATGATTTTCTCTTTCTAAATGACGTGGTAGTACAAAGCAGGACTTCCACTCCTGACCCGGCCGAGAGCCACCAGCAATGGTTACTAGAGGAACATTACGTTACGCCGAGGACTTCCTCGACACAAATGTATATTGTGGTGACTTGAGGTACATTCTCCCTCCCGAGGAGAACGTACCTCGAGGTTGATACTTGTATTTAATGAGCAGACACTTTCAAAACAACCTGCGGCCACGGAGGAGGGCGCTGAGAGCTTGTTAATGTTGCTATATGTAGTGTTGTCTTAGTGTAGACGCGCCAGTGTCACCACATGTCAGCAATAATGAGGCAAGAGCCGGTTGGCGTCGTGTGCGGGCTCGCCTCGGAGTGTAAGAGAAGGCGAAGTTCAATACAGACAGTTTGTGCGACCCGAAAGTGGGCAGGGTCAAGTGCAGGCTGAGCCCCAAAACCGGCTTGCAAGAGGCCAGGGCTCAAGTGTACGGTCGGAGCCCCGCGCACGCGACCGAAAGCAATAAGGGTACAATCAATAGCTTATCGTACAGTCACTGCTATATATCGGTTGAGGTAGGAATGAGCAGACTGGGGTGGCTCCATCATAGCAACCTGGTGAGTCTGATCATGGCTCAACCCCCAAATCCAATCCCACACTTCCCAAACAACCTTGCCCCTCGACTTACGTAATGTCATATCAGGGTTTACGCAATTTACGGATGCACTGCTGAATTATTTCTGAGACGAGTATTGTATGTGAAGGAGACAGAAGGGGTAAATCAAAAGAGCAAAGGTGAGAATGAGATCTGTAATGTTCTGTAAATGTGAAATGTTATACTGATTGTCGTGGAGTAAGATAAAAGTAATAATTATAAGATTAGACACATCACCTATATGATAATGAAATGCAACAAAATTTACCTCTTCAAAATTTCTAGAAGTCGTGTCCCTAAGCTATGCAGTTTCCACCTAATGCAATTGTCTTGAAGAATTTGACACACTCATTTGCAGAGTAAACATTTCAGCCTTTGAGCATTATTGCAACAGATATTCACATGCACATTTCAAGAGCACTCATACACAAAACCAAATGCCTCATGCACACTCGAACACCAACTATGCACGAATGCCCGAGCGCCAGGCACTAGCACGTCTGCTTGGGTCTCTTGTCCTTATGCATGACAATTGTGAACGTTCGCTTTACGCATTGACAACTCCCAGCCAGACGTATCTCTTGGGGCAACACCATGCAGCATCATGCAGTACCTGAGGTGGTGGCTTCATTTTGACATCTTATCGTCACACTGTAAATATTTTCGATTTTTGGTTGACGATTAGATATTTAAGATTCATTTACACTAATCAGTTGCTGGCGCGTTTGAGTATGTGTGTGTGTGTGTGTGTGTGTGTGTGTGTGTGTGTGTGTGTGTGTGTGT